TCGCCTCATTGGTCTTGGGCGATTCGCAGCAAAAAGAATACAAACCCTTACCAGCCCAATGCTTACGCAAGGCACTCGACTCTAATTACTCAACAATGCAGCACATTGCGAAACCACAGCTGGGGAGATAGAGGCAAAAGGTGAGAACCTGTCAGCTAACGCGTCGGTTTATGACGTTGCTCATTTGACATTGTGGTTCACGCCCTCTGCGCCACCCCAAAGCCGTCAGCGAAGCTGCGCATCTTTGGCACGACGCCATTGCCAATGTCCATCTCGCTGTACGCGCAGCAGGTGGTCTCCAGTGAGGCTTAGATTTCCATTGGCAGTGTTCAAGGAGAAGTACTTGAAGGTTCCCTGACGGCAGACGGCATGACTGGTAAAGAGCACACGAGATCGCTTCAAGACTCAAAGGATCGAGTGCAGGAGAATGGTCATCTGTACCCTTAATTACCCTATCTTGTACAAATAGGTCCCTACTAAAGCTGATTATATAAAGGTGGTTGCCATGACCCTGCTTCTCCTGACAACTTCTCTTCTTGTCTCGTGTTCAATCTATTGTCTGTGCTATTGAAACGGATCGAAACCTTGACGGATCGAGTCACAATTCATTCTATTCAATCAGTCCCCGAAACTGGAAACGAAACCACACTCTGGAGACTCTCTGGACATCGAAAGCTTGAGAACGATCCCTCTCTGGCCTGCATATGTAAATAATATTGTAGTTAATTATTGTGTGTTTGTGCCCTATCTTGTGAAAGAATCACCCTCCCAACCTGCCGGTGACTTGGAGGCGTTGGAGGCGGGAAAGACAAAAAAAAAGGTTGCTGTGAACCCGATGACCACATGTTCAGTTCTCTTCACAACCGATCACAGTCGGACTGGAGCCTACCTGGGCGTCAGAATGCAAGCAAGCGATGACGGGAGACCAGCCGGCGGAGGTCTTCAACTCATGTCCCACCTGGTGGCTGAGCAGTCTCTCGGCAAAGTTCAAATACTAAGGGATGGTATCCAACATCTTTGGACACCTTCCTTTGGCATGCACACAGTGCACAGGAACATCTGAATCCCTCCATGACTGGGGTGCGAGATGGTGCGAACATTTCGTACAGTCAGTCCTTCTACCCATTTTACCCTCCTGGATATTCTTGATCAAATACGACTCAACATCTCGTGGATCCCCACCTGCACCTGGGAGATCCAAAGCTCCCCACTCCGTTCAACCACTCGAGCGAAGGGCGGGAAGCATCCGGCCTGCCAGTGTGTCAATCGACTCATACGCAAAACCGTGGGCAAAATCGAAGGAGTTCCGTTGCAAGGACGAACTCGGTGGCTTGGATGTGGATGCTGGATGCTACGAAACTTGCACAGGTGGTCAAATAGGTCAGACAGGTCTGTCTAAAATCAATCTCCGATGAGAGGGCTCTCTGGGCGTCGAAGAAATGCCAGTCGGCCAGTCCGTCGTTGTCGACTGTTTAATACGTCCATCCTCAAAGTGCTGAGCAACAGCCAGCTTGCAGGGCTCCTCAAACTCCGCCCGCCGATCTCCAAACCTTTTTTCGCACTCCTCAGTGGCCACATGATACATGAAATATACAGTAGTCGATCGCTGGATCGAGTGCGACTGCGCAGAATTCATGAATTGAGAGTTGGTCAGCGGTGACTCAAAACAGTACAATTCTATCTGTTTACTATGAAGCAGACCACAATATCCTGTGGGTGGCTGTCCTCAGCATCGCAGCCAAGGCACCCGATTGCAGACTCCCAGATCTTGATCACAGCTGAACTTAGTGGCCAAGAGATACGTCTTCCGGAGGCAAAGATAGGAGATGATAGGAGTGTATTCTTCCACTTCAACATGCTACAGCCTGCGTGTGGGTCTGTATGTGTCTGACCAATTGAAGCTCAAAGTCCCAGCCCCCCCACCGTCCCCACCTCTTGCTCCTTCAGCTCTGGCGTTTTAGGGAAGAACTTGATGGTGGTACTGAAGAACGAAGACCGAGAGCCATTGTGTCCGGGGCCTGCAACCAACCCACGCTTGCTTCTTATCACTCACGCAGAAGACTAAACAACAGTGCTCCTTGGTTTGAAGAGGCCATTCACGTGCTAACCTGCATCCATTGGATCATGTCGTCTCTCATGTCCCTGAATTCTGACTCTCGAACGAACACGTTCTCTTTCTCTTTGTCTTTCTCTTTCTCTTTGTCTTTCTCTTTGTCTTTCTCTTTCTCTCTGTCTTTCTCTTTCTCTTTGTCTCTCTCTTTCACTTTCTCTCTCTTTCTCTTCCTCTCCCTCTCTCTCTTGCTCTTTTTCTCTTCCCCTCTCTTTCTTATCCTATCTCCCTCCCTCCCTCCTCTCCCTCTCTCTCAGTCTGTGCGGTCGACTGATACCTTTACAAAACAAAAAGCAGTTGCAAAAAAAAGATTACAAAGCACCTTCAAAAGCTCTGGACTGTCCAGAAGACTCACCCAAAATATCCACGATACTGCGTAAATCTGCGTACTGCATAGTCGTGGAAAGTCCTCAGCATCACGGCCGACCCAACCAAGGCTCCTAGGAACTCTGCCGCTGCGTCTGCGCGGCGAAGGCGGAATCCCAGTGACGGCTCGTTGGGCTCATCCCCACCCACGAGGCGCGAGAGGGCGTCTGCGCGAGGCATGGCCAGGGGCGATCGCACTGGCGATCGCTTAGATGGCAAGGTGAGATGATCTTTCAGGCTTGATGGACTTGGTGTGCCAACGTATGACTCAGTTCGTCAGACAGGAGCTTCGGGGGCAACATGGACATCTCGTCAAACTGTCCGGATGGTTTTTGTTGGACTGCAAGAGCAAGCTGCAGATTGTTTGACTGGTTTGAGCAGGTGAGTTGCTAGAGCCTGCCAGAGTTAGAAGAAAATGAGTGAAGCACTAAGCGACCAGCCTCTAAATGGCCACTTCTTTCGGCCTATCATGTCTAGCAACAGACTGCAGGCATCAAGCATTCGTAAGTTTCGACATGTCCAGCTCCAAGTACAGGATGGCTTTTTTGGAATTGTCGACAATCTTTCTGAATATAAATTCCCCAAATACGGGCCCATTTGCAGCTGGAGGCCAGGCTCAATTTTGATGTCCAAAGCGTGCCTGAGAGTAACAAGAGAGTAGGTTTGGCGATGGGTCATAACTCCAGTCACTCCCAATAGACAACAAAGTAGCTGTGTAGCTGTGTAGCGTGGAAGTTCATTTCCCCAACTGTGTGGCCCACTGTGACCAACTGCAAATGTCAAGTCAAGCCGCTTTGTTACTCCCGGAGGTGGTTGGATGTAGATGTGAGTCTCATCCAGGTTCCTTAGGAAAGCAGCTCCAATTTTGGATCGAATGGGTCAGCTTCAACATGCTTCAACATGCTTCAGCAGTGGTCTGTCACCCCACTCCCACACTCAGTGCATGGACTGCTCCCATTCGTAGACCGTTCGTCCGTCAAATATGAACCTCAAGTGCTAGCATCTGAGAAAGGCGAGAATAGAGAATCTGCTGTGGAAGAAGAATTCAAAACGCACCGGTTGTGTTCATGCGACGGCGATTTCACAAGCGAGCGGCATATTTACATTTAACATCTTGTCATCATGAGAGATACGTCAAAAGCGGAGGGCTCAATGTTTTGCACCCAATCATGTTGAAAGTCAAGAAAGTCCTCAGGAGCTTCTTCAACCGTTTTGACATTGATATGGCTGTGAGTCCAACGTGTCTTTCCTTCAAAGCCACAAACCTCTTCTTCAGGCAAAGGAGCTGCTGCCTCCCACGTGCCTTCTCAGTCAGCTTGCGAACCTCAGGACTCTCCTGCAGTGGAGCGGCAACCAGCGTTCATGGCCAAATTCCCGTCATTCTGGCTGATGATGATGGAAATATACAATTATGCAATTTATACAGTAGGGATCTGCTTTGAGACTACAAGCTGGTCTAAGTTGTAGTCCCAAAACAAATCCCTAATGTATAACAAAACACCCATCCAGATCCTTGATGCAACAACACCTGCATGTTCGACCGGGGTGAGATTCCAGAAGTATATCTGCAACTCTTTCGGTGATGGAACCTTGCAGGAGAAAGCGGCGGAAGATGTACTTTTTGCCGCGCAGGACCTGTTTGCCTGCGATTTCTGTTCCTTATCTGCATATAGGCATATTGGAGTACCAAAACCAGGGGAGAACAAGCCCTGCAGTAAGAGAGTGACTGCAGCTGACCCTACTTGCTACTAAATGCCATAAGGGCCACAAGTGCCACTCTTTGGCAGGTGTGTTCAACCTATGAGCAACCAAATCATTGGCCATGCTCCTCCTGCATCAGGAACAAAGGAGCTGCAAAAGTCAGCAGCGGATGCACCAAGTATTCATCTAAGATTGCATGACTCTGCCAGTATCATTGCTTTTTGTCAAAGCATTTTCCAGTATGGATTACAATTAATTACAATCCAATAAAGAATAGTAGCAGCTAAACGGTGTAGAACAAGGCTCAGCTCAGACTCTGCTGATGCATATGATGCATGATTCATACAGAAACACACATGAAAGTGATGAATCGGGCCACCACATGTTGCGGCCAGCGTCAGAACATCCGCTAATTACTGGATGTCACACCTTGGTCCCACCCTGTATTACTGCACGAAGTCCACTGATCGCTGTTCCACTGATCTGATCGCTTTCGAGCAAGTGTGAGCTAATGCTAGCACAAGTGCAGGCTTCAACATGTTCTCACAAAAAGGTCCTTCTGCTCAGTTCAACTTGCAGGCGAGTCCCTCCTTTTTACCGCCAGTCTTGCGTGCGTGCCTGTGCTGGATTGCGTCGCGTCTCTACATGCTTTGAGGCTTCAGACCTGTTTGGATCATGTTCTTGTTTGCATAACTGCTTCAGAGTTGATAGAATTCCTTGTGATCCAACAACCTTGCAGAAGCATTGCAGTTGAAATATGTTGAAAATTGTTGCTTCGTCATGGTTCCATCAAATCTCTTTTCTGACTGATTGTGAGGTGCTTGGTGCTTTTGGTTCGAATTCAGTCTCGCCTCTGTCACAGAAACGCTTGCCTCAGGATTTCATCCTGAGGCAAGCAGAATCTTGGGAAGTCGCTTCACGCGTCCTTCTCCACAATGGCCTGACGGTGTGCACCATCTGGATACCCCCTTCGTCAACATCGGTGTTTAAGATTGCTTATTCATGAACACTCGAAGTAGATATATACAAACCATGGCAATTCTCTTCACCTTTGGAATCTCCTAGATGGCGAACGGGCTGCTTTACCGTTCACTTCGAGCCGTTCACCCTTTAGCGATGGCTTCGACTGCTGCCAAGTTGCTGTCAGGTGAGCATCAATCTCCGCCTCCGTTAACCGGAAGAATCCCTTCCTGGACCTCACACGACCCAACCCGAACCGTGTGGGAAACCTCCACACGGGGTTGGCACGGGTGATTCTCATGGGAGCCACTCGTTTTGGCCGGGAAGAGGAATCGGTAGAACGAGATGGAAACACCACGTCGGTGGAAACAACTGGTGACACTTGGCGATCAACTCGCATGTTGACCGTTGGGCGTCGACCGTTGGGCGTCTGGGTCGCCGCCGCTTTGACACGACGCCCACTTCGATGTCCGAAGCCTCCCACACAGGGCTCGGTACAAACGCCCCCGCACGAAGCACGAAGCACGGCGGTTTGAGAACGAAGGCAAACTGCGAATATGATGAGATGACTAAGCAGTAAGACTCGCATCCAAGCAGTCTGTGTCTTTGTGTCTTTTCCTACAGGAATTGGTCTGTGCTGCACATTCAACAACTGAGTCTTGAAAGCAACATCGCTCCTTAAAGTCCATACCCATGACGGCTTGAAGGCATCCAATCGCCTGAAATGGAGCGAACAGAAACCGAACACATACTGAACTGAGAAATCAATCGTTTTGCCTGCTGAATGGTCTCAGCTTCTGTGAATTGAATCTTCTTCTTCACAATCTTCTCAAGCGCGTTCTGAGCCTGAAACAGGAAACAAAGCATCGTGGGAAGCGTGCACAAAGGATGTTGAAATAATAGGATGACAAAATAGGACAGTGGTCCCATATGGAGCTACTATATAGTAGCTTCTTGTTACTAGTAGCAATGGCCTCCAACCTACTAGCGATGGCCTCCAACCTACTAGCGGTGGCCTTCAAACCACTTGCGATGGCCTCCAACCTACTAGCGATGGCCTCCAACCTAGTAACCTAGTAGCTTCTTGTTACTGGTCGCCGCTCTCGCCTCTTGGTCCTTTGTGCCAGCGGCTGCAGCCTTATACCCAAAGTATTGACCAGCAGGGTCGATCTGGCGGGCAAGCTCTTTGATTCTGAAGGTGTACGATGACCAGGAACGACTCCCGGACATGCACGGTGACAGGAACAACGGTTGATGTGACTTGATTGATCTGAAGCTTCAATACAGCTTAACTCATTGACTGCAAAGCCTGATAGAGCGACGGGCCCTTCTCGTCATCGATGGAAACCCTGCAAAGATTCAACATCAAACCATCGACTCTTGTTCTGTGGATGCCCCTTAAGCAAAGTACACTTCCCCAAGAGAAGAAACTGACAGTAAGCCCAAATGATTGAGGCAAGTGATGTTCAAACCTTCCAAAGCTTCCCGGCGACCTCTTCCTTCGGGACGTGTACTTCACCCCAAATACACCCCAAAAATAAGAATTGAATGAACTAATAATTGAATAAACTAATATACTACAAGACAATGTTGCCACCAAGACACAGGATGGTACTGACACCATAGGGTCGCATGTAGGCGTGTTGGGTGTACACCTGAGCGGTGCAATGTTGATGGGCGGTGCAGGATTGCAGCGTACATCTTCAATGGCCTGTGCAATGTTTGCAAGCTTCAAGGCAAGGTAATGGACCTGCCAGCTTTCAAAAAGACCAAATCCATGCAAATCCTCGTCAGGAACTAAATTTCATCAAGTTTCCAAGATCATCCAAGGCCTCCAGCAAGAGCAAGCTCTGAGGTTCCCACAGGGATTTCGTAGGCATTCTTATCCTTGAACTTGGCTGCGATCTCTCTCGCCCTGTGCGACCGCAAACGGGGCGAACTCGATCCGGGGCAGTGCTCGGCTTACAGCGCAGTGCTTGGTGCCTGTACACCAGAGCTCGAGCATCAGGACTCATGCCCGTCATGAGGCAGCCAACATTCGGAGTGATGTTGTAGAGGTGAGTGCCAAAATCCTATCAAAAAAAAATCAAAAGAGATAGAGGGTGTGAGATCCAAAAAAGTCATTTCTCCGAGCATGCATGGCCACCTGCCTTGTCCATCAGCTTATCCGGAACCTTCTTCTGGGTCACTGCGACAACCTGAGTTCGAACAACTGCTCGCAAGATCCTATTCTCTCTCAAAGCATGCAAATTGGGCCATTTGCTATTCTACCAAGATCCCGGCACTATCGTCTCCTCGCAAAGCTACAGAGGTCATGTTCTGGTTCTTCTTGACTGCCTGGAACCTGGCACAGCACAAACTGTGAATAACAACCATCAGTGAAACCCCAAGCACGACAGCATGACGCATACTCGACCTGATGCAAGCGGCCCTGACCACGGTCAAGCAAGACCCGAAGGAGGGGAAGCAGTGAACAGGCGAACATGTGGCGAACAGGGCCAGGTGAATCGGTGTGGCATTTTTGCTCAGTCAAACCAGCAAAGCAAGTAAAGCTCCTAGGCCATCCCCAGTAGGAGGCCACTAGGTTGGAGGCCATCGCTATTAGGTTGGAGAGCGGGTTAAAGCAAGTAAAGCTCTCAAAGTCTGCTGTGTGTAAACGTCGGCTACGCTGCTACACTCCCAGCCTCGGGCGAAAAGATGGTAATGTGGCGGTCGTATCCGGATTGGCGCGCCATACCTGCCTGCACCACGTCGCAAAAGCAAGGCCACAAAACAACAAAGCTGTCCAACAACACATGAACACGAACACTTTCATGAAATGAACTTGAACATTACCCACGATTCTCCCAAGCCTGAAAGCGCGCCCCAATGGAAAGCTACTATCTCTCTGAGCCAAGCAAAATGGTTTATGAAGAGGTGTGGAGGAAATGGCAAAGGAAATGGACACAACAAGCAATGGTACGCTATAACTATAGAGGAAGTCAGATCAAGTCAGCGGCTGCATTGTCTCATTCCAATCATTCAGCAAAACGCTTCCCTTCCTTCGGAGATTTCACAACTGCAAAGTGAATTTCAGGGCAATTGGTGTGCTGTACGCAGTCAGCCCTGGTCATGAAGCCCTTTGGGCCAGATGCAAAAAGGATCAAAAAGGTAAGTTTCCATACGGCCTCATCAAGCAATGTGGCCATGATCGCCTTCCTGACCACCACAGTGACTCCATCAAGTGGTGGCTGAGTTGGCTTCTCTCACTGGTGACTGGGGCTCCCTGCGTAAAGGTTCACCGCGAAATGTTGACAATTGTTGTCCATCCAGGAATAGGGAATTTGCGCTGAGGGATTCGACATCAATAACCTCCAGAGACGGAAAACATGACGACCTCTCTCTCTCTCTCTCTTTCTGGTGAATCCCAATTAAGTAATGGCACCCCCAATGAGCCATGAGATTTCATGAGCAATCATTCAATTCGGTGACCAATTCGGTGAGCAATCTCGCTCTCATGGCCTGTCCAAATCTCGCTTGGCGCGAGGCTTTCTGCAAGGGGCCCACTCCCTTGCAAGCCAACAGTTGGCCTGTGGGCATGGAACGAAGCTGGCACTCTCAAGCTTGAATTTGAACATTTGCCGGTTGAACACCTGAGGATCTTCAACAACATCCCTTCAATTTATGACAAGTTCACAAACATCTAAATGTGATCAGTAGTGTGTAATTCAAGAGGGAGACCCCCGATCGCCCCTGATCGCACCGTTGACTGGTCTATTTACACATCTGCCCATCGGCCGATTCAGAATCCGCCTCGGGGTATTGAAGGCCGCTGGCCACAGCACCAGGCAGTCCCAGGTAAACCGAACCTTGAATGTACTGGGATTCTCAAAGGTCAAAAGAATCAGCCTGTACACCTAAACGGGCCAAAATGATTCAATCTATCTACGAAGGAAAGATATGTAAAGTGTTTGTTGCCTGAATCGTTTCTGTGAGCAAAACTATGCATGCTTGCATTATGGTCTTAAGCTTGAATGGTTTTGAACCGTCTCTTGGTCTTCAGTACCCTCCCCTCACTTCAAGACTTCACCTCAGACACCGACCAGTCACGTGGTTCTTTCCACTTTCGTCCATGCAGAACTGAGCAGCATAAAAGTACCTCATTGAACCGTCAAGACCTTCAGACCTCTCTTCGTTTTTCTTCGTTTTTGGTGTCTTTTGGAGCCGTTTTGGTGAGCGCGCACACGAGATCGCGAAGCCAAACCGCTCGGATCGGCCCTCAGGATCCGGCATGTTGTTCGCACTCCTGGCACGTCTGAGTCACAAAACACCAGAACACTGCAGAACACTCACTTCCAGAACCCCCGGATTACCTGGTTTCTTCCTACCCCAAAATGCCGCTTTCGCGTTTTCGCCGTTGGAGGCGAATCCTGGCAACAAACCACCAATGATCAGCTGGACCAGACACTTGGTACGACCTCAGCGTGGCATTTTTTGCTGCCAGTCCAAGATGGTCGAAACGCCACACCACACCTACCTGAAGAATTTGGTACCGGGGCATGCTTTGTTTATAGCATATTTATGTTATACGTCATGATTTACAACTGTATAACCATTATAAGTATATGTGTTTTATATGCTACTTATTGTGTATTACTTGAATAGCCATTCAAATCCTTCTGGTACAAATGTCATGTATATGATTTGTTGGGACGTCCTCTATCGTTTTCCAAGGAAGACTCAAAATCACTCTCTTGGATGAAGCACCCTTGTATATCCTTGTATAATATATATATATATAAAGTGAATGATTGCAAGTTTGAAAACAACGCATTTCTTGAAACCTTTAGAATATGGATCCTATAAGCCTATAAGCCACAGCTGTTGGCTCCTTTCCCTGCTTTCTCACATGGCGCTGAGCATGTCAAACACGACTCAGATTCCTGACCATGCTGGGACCAGAAAGAGGAGCGACACGGGGTTCCAGCGCCCCAACTCAATCCATGCCTTAGCGTCAACTGGTTCCAACCATGCAAACCAATGAATCCACCAAGAGCTCCATGAGAATGATATGTGTAGCTTACACGGACTGCCATGGAAGTAGATGGCGCTGAGACTCGACGATGTCTCGTTCCACCCCGCTTCTTGGGCGTTCTTCCAATCGAATCGGCGTTCCGAAGGACCTCGTGGGACGATTCGATCTACCGGCCTTCCCTGGCAGAGGACAAGCGAAGATGGCTTTCTCAACAAACAAGACTCCTCGCAGGAATTGGTCGTCCTGGCGGTCATCCGATCTCAGTCTTCGGTGACCAGTCCGACGACCGGTCGAGCCACTGGTCACTCGTCACCAGGCAAACTAGAAACTCCCTCCTTTGGAGAGAACGCCGTGGAGTAATACATCATCATACACAGGAAAACCACAAGTTTTTCACAAGGGTTTCATCTGCTTTGAGTCATACAAGTCACAAATTACTGGTCGGTCCTCGACTTTCAAGCCGGGCTGTACACTAACTGGTGGTCCGCTTGATGAGCTCGAGGCTGACAGAAGTCATGGATTTCAGGCAGTTTGTCTGACATGCTGCCGCACAAAAATCTGGGCTACTGCGGCTACTGGGTTCAATGCACTGAAGCAAACGTCCTCAAAATCAAGCATCCGCCCCAACCCCGTTTGCATCGTAAAACATGCTTTTGTTGGGAGGCTGGGACATCCTTTAGGTGAGAACTATACCTGACCCGACTTACTGACTGACTGGCCTGGCAGTGCGGAGGAGGCCCTGGGTCAGCAAGAAAGAACAGCAAAAGTGGTGCAGAACTCCAGGGTGGTTTCATGTTGTGCTTTTCCTATCAAAGAAACACATGGATCAATGGATCAGGACTTCTACAATGGTTTGGAATCCTGACTGTTCAGCAAAGTGAAGCTGGAGATGAAATGGTCTCACAATCTTATTTTGCCACTCAGGCAAGGACGGTGCTGAATGTACTGAATGTACCATCGATTGTCCCATCTTGCTGGCTCTTTGTAAGGCTCTGATCTGTCACATGGCTTTCATTTGCATTCTTTGCGATGTGTCCATCTGGGCTGAACTCAAGGGGTCGTTCCTGGCAATCAATGAGTCAAGCTAAAGCTGTTGAATATCTACCCTTTTCGCCCACGCTGCCACAGCCAGAATGAATCATGCCTCACCTTCATCGTTCCATTCAATGCAAGATCACTGCCAAGGCAAGCATAGAGTTACAAGACCAAGATCTTGAGAGTGAACTCCATTTTCCATCATCCTTTTTTCTGCATGAATGAATTGGATTGCTGCGATCCCTTCCAAACCTGAAATTCCTTTGGAATTCAAAAGAAGACCCGGACTCGCCGGACTCTTGATGGTTGAAGGAGTCCGGCCAACGCGCCCTTGGCACTCAGACTGTTTGTTCTTTGTCGGCACGATCCACGATGAGTCTCGAGGATGTCCCGAAGTCGGTTCATCTTCCGATTCAAACCACCTGAATCCTCTCGGGATTGCCCTTGTTAATCGGCATCACCTGCACCAAGGCATCTTTCAAGCCAGCAACAGTGAAATTTGGAGGCAACTTGAAAGCCCGACAAATGTTCCAAATCATCAGGTGGAGGTGACAATTAGGGCTGCAGTGCAACTTCAACAAAATCTCGGCCATATTTTCCAGTATGGACTCGCCTCACTATCGGATTGCAGGCCGTTGATCTCTGGCAAAAGGTCCACCTTTTTGTCTGCTGAGCCAAGAAAGCACCATGTTTGTAAACATCCAAGATGCCCCGCAAAAAGTATAGAAAAACAATGAAAAGCATTTTTTTGAAGGGGCACTCTCCCTTTGAGATTCCAATGGCCCCTGGCCCCAGTCCACAGAAATAATCCAAGCGACCATGTACAAATTGCTCACTGACATCGTGGCCATCAAGAGAAAGAAGACCAAATAGGTCCCCGTCCAGATCACAACAGCTTCGTAGATCAATGGAGAAATCATGGCCGCCAACCTTCGACCAACGAACGCACGACATCGAACGGCCCCACGAACAACGCGAAGTCCGTTTGGGAGGATCTGAGAATGGGGCCGACCAGCTGCCAAGGCCAACCCAGCTCCCATGCTCCTTGCCTGCATACAAGAGAGAGCTTTGAAGAAAGCTCTGAAAGCCTTAGGATGAGGTTTTCAGATGCAATGTTTGTCTTCTGTGGATGGAGGACTCTTCTTCGCTCCCGCAGATTCCCAGCTCATCGCGTTTCCAAAAACAATCCATGAAAGCCCAAACCTGACTCCTGAAAAGCCCTGGCACCATGGCCTTTTGACCTAATTGGCATCCTTTGGCCCTTTGGCCCTTTTAGCCTAGCCCGCCCGCCCTAGCCCGACCAACCGAGGGAATCCTCCGTCGGATAGAGCTCTGCAGACATCTGGTAAGCCACGATAAATCCGATGTTTGGGACGCATTTGATGCCTTACCCGACGTGCACCGTGCACTTCACCAGCCCCGACGTGATGGGAGAGTCGAATTAGTCAAGCGGATAGTCGATTCACAGGGAGAAAGGGCTCAACATGTCCAGGAACGGTTTGGTCTTCAGAGAAAAGTGAACAGTGGGATCATCTGGAGTCTGTTCCTTGCTTCTAATATAGATTGATGATTGATGCTATGGCATCGGACCGACTCCCTGCGGCTGAGGTTTGGGCCATAGTAGCCAATGTACAGGAAGACCTTCATGAGCTTTCCATGCCTCAGTGAGTTTCACCCATTCCAGGTGGCCATGCTAAGTCTTAACTTCAAAACAAGCGGCTCAGGGTGGCCATGGGCTCCCACGATGAAGCACACAATGGAACCTTGAAATCACATTGGCAGACTTCGGATGACTTCAGTGGTTCAAGATCATTCAAGCGATTTACAAAATCGATCATGTTCGTCTCTACCATCATCGCGTTTGCAAGGGCCCGGGCATGTCAAAGCTGTAAGGTAGACTTTCAGTGAATTACGCCTCAAACTGGCCAAACATGACACAGAAATCACTGGTTTCACCTGGCAGACGTAGCAAAGACCACAATTTTGGTTCCTTTCCAAAGTGGTCGAACGACCATGGCCAGGGTTTCAAGGAAAGCTCATGTTTATCTCTTTGTCCCTGCCTGGATGCTGTGATGCCCAGAAGCAAGCCTGGCCGGAGATCCAGCTCATGATTATGGCCGATGCAATACTTGTACTCCACCTCTTGTGTTTGGGCCAAAAGGAGCATACAAGAATTCCCCTTTGGATTGGACATCGATTTACTTACTTTAAGTATACATATGTGTGGTTCTGCGTTATTCTCCTGTATATATAATATTGCCCAATGACAGTCTCATGGCAAACCCATCAACAAGGACTTGTTGCTGAACTCCTTGACTTCTTATGCCCAGTTAACATTCCAATTCACTTGCCTGTGGCCAGGCCAGGCAGTTCCCAAAGTGCGCCCACCAAGAGCTCCGAGGCTGCCTGTCCATGCATCAGCATGGGCAGCACCTCATCGCTCGCTTCCGTCGGGTGGCTGTGGCTTGGACGTTCGTTTAGGGCTCAAATCTGCCGTCCAAAACGCGGGATGTTGCAGTGTTTGACCCCGTCTAATATTGAGCAGGTTCACAAAAAATATATATATATATTGTATGTATGTAAGTGCTGCCCCTAAACCATCAAAGAATGGAAACAAGAGCAAACACTTGCAAACAGACTCCAAACTATAAAGTACAAACTCATATAAAAACTAATCGACTGCTGTAGGAAGAGTACAATACCAAAACAGCTCAACCATGCTCAACCTGTTTATATATCCATATCAAATATTATCAAATGGTCTTCCAGTGGTGGCAAAACAACATATACGAGCAATGCCAACCTGACGAAGCTCAACTGATGGGGCGGATGGGCACGTCGTCAGTGAATTAGAATTGCACACCCTCAACTCCTCTAGTCTTTGACTTGCTGACCAACTGGCAACCCTGTTGTGTTTCGGCCTCCCAACAACTGGTGCCTGAGGGAAAGCGAAGAGGCTGCCAAAGTACACCATGTTGAGCGTGAAACACACTGACATGATCACAAAGGTACAAACCTTAGAGTATCCGACAATTCCCATCATCTCATCGATTGAATCCGCGAAACCTACATTGACGTATATGTTCCCCGTTTGTCTCTCACTCCCACTCCACTGGGTCGTGTGCGATGAACTCCTCACTGAAGACCAAAGTCATTTGTCTCGACATTTGTGAGAACAATGTTCCCTCTCTCACTTCTGCACAGGGCTTTTCAAAGTCCAGCGTGCTGGGCGGCGATTTATTCAGCCTCCGACCACTGGACGCAGTGTGGAGGCCAAAACAACTCTCAGGGATTCTTTGGTCGACACTGGACACAAAGTCATTGAAATTCCAACTATCCCGAAGCCACAAAGTGCAAACTTTCTGGGTCACTTTAAGAAGTGTGGCTACACCACCCCTGTGTGGCTGGCCCCATGCTAAACGAAAACATGTCTTATATGAATCCTCATCGCCTGGACCTGCCCCACAGCGCGGGGCCAAACAGGTGCTGGACTCCAGCCTCCCCATGCTCTCCACCACGCTGCGAGCTTCTTTGTTCCGCCCTTTGAGGGCAAGGAACATGGGCGACTCGTTCAGATACGACATGCCTAGGCCACTGACGGTCGACATGCGGGAGCGACGGTCGAGGGTATCTGAAGCAAACAGGGTACTTATGATAGAACTTCACATGTGCCCCCGGTGAAATCCGGTACATCCCAAAGTGAGCACCTGCCGGCAGGTTCTTCTCATCACATTCGGAAGGAATTGTCTGGTTATGTCTGGTTCCTTCCTGCCGCTTCGCTCCAAACAAGCGCTCAAACCGTCACGTCGGCCGGGCTGCTGAGAGTGAAGAGAACCAATGAAGGCACAGCTCCCAGGCGGAGCAGCACTCGCCAATGCAAAAACTGCACGATCCGAGCACTCTCCCGGTGGGTGGAGCGACCCCCCAAAGAAAAGAGAGCAAGAGTCTGGACCTGAAAGGAAACAATGGTTATATACACTTGTTTAAACATTTTCCCATACTTCCCATACTTCTCTCAACCCACTTTTTAAACATGTTGGTTATATACAGTGGTTGTTTTTCAGCAACGTCTCTGGTCTCATGCTTAAAAAAACAAAAAGAAAAAAAACATCTTGAGGAATTGCTCGATTGCTTTCGGATACTCCGGCCTGCATGTTTGAGTCATCCATCATCAAAAGAAATGATATGTACCTGGGCCATCTACAAGTGCTGCAAGCTTTGGTCCAGGGTCCAAAGCCATATGTGTGCTTTTGCTTTTACGCGTAAAACATCGTAAAACACTTTTGTGTTGCTGTAGATGTACAATGTAGACAACGAAGAGTTTCACGGTGACTCTGGCAGTCTGATGGTCGTCAGGCGTTGAACTACAATCTTTTGAGATATCTTGAGAGTTGGTGAGGGTTGCAAAAAAGAGGTTTACAGCTATTTTACTGTCCAAACCAAAATCGTTAGCCACGACATGAGCATGTTCCGCAGCTCTCTAGCATTCACTCTTGGGTCTTTCCTTCAGCTGCATGTGAAACAATCTGTCAAGCAATCTGTTCCACATCTTCTTTTTGGGGTGATGGTGTAGTGAGATGGTTTCGGAACGGAGGTCAAAGACAGGACATCTAGGTCTCCTTCCTTTCTTCCTTTCTTCCTGTCTTCCTGTCTGACTGTCTTCCTTTCTTCCTTTCTTCCTTCCTTCGTTCCTTCCTTCCTTCCCTGCTCAAGCCGTTGCGGATTAAGTCGATTTTGAAGTGATTTGGTGTGCCAGTAGAAAATGCAAGGCGAGTACCTTCCCCACGTGCCTCTGTGCATTAATCATTAGGCTGCCAACAGCGCGCTACTGTTTGTGACTTTTCAATGATAACTATTCTTTAAAGACTCCCACACATTCCTGGAAGAGGGCCTATTCAGAAAGATGAACGCCTTCTGTCGCGCAAGACTCACCCAAGCGCCTTTGGATGCAGCAATACCATACGTGTACAGTCTGCAATGAGCTGACACCAGGCGTGGGTTGTTGAACCAAAAGGAGTTCCAATCGAACTCTACTACAGTATGTGTATGTGTCTATATATATAAGAGATATATAGAGGGATTACCATCTAGGCCACACGCTGACGGAAGGCTATCCAGGTTCTCTGAGATCAGTCTGCGATGAAGTTCGAGCCAAGAGGCATCTCTCCAACGACGAATAAGGACTGAGAAACAGCAGCCATGGGAATTCGCCAGTAGGCAGGGGTAATCTCTGCGCTGATAGAGAGCCAGGCTGGTTGGCCTGGCTCTGTCCAACGCCATCACCCCAAACATGGCAAGTGTGAAGGTGTACTTAAACATTTTTCTTCAAATGTGGCGTGGCAGTTGCCTTAAGTATTGGTCCCTCTGTCTTGAGACATCAACAGCTCCAAAGATTGGAGGAGCTTGCCTATTCCAATGAAGATGCCGCCCAGGAATCGCATGATCATGAAGGCCATTGCAGCCCGACAAGCTGCACTCACAAATCCACAAAGGAAGATGCCACAGTACCTGCAAGGTTCTGTGTATCCATGCGCAGATTACGAGACACCTCAAACTAACCATGGAGTTCAATAACTACATATTTCAGAACAACAAAAATGATAAAACATGATAAAACACATTTGGACGTTTCCTGTTCAACATGATTTCCCTGAATATGATGGTGTTCTTCAGCGTTTGCGCCAGCTCTGCCAGTAAGACCGAAAACAAATCGCGGATCCTAATATCTCACAAAATGTTCCCATCCAAGCCATCGGGCTGCGCGGTGTTCCCAAACCATTCCATGTGATAAAAGGACACGTCGGTCTCGCCAAAATCAAACTGATGACCCTCATCACCACCCCCAAAACAAATTGTGTTCGGCGATCGAAAATGTTTAGAATCATGGTTGCGAGACTAATCTAACAGTGTCTGTTTGACCCTGGGACCCTGAGGATTTGTCCAAACTAGATCCATGTCTTCCCTTGGCCCAAAGTCCCAAGCACGAGAGGACGATCATCTCCCGGCGGCCGAAACGGTGGCTGCAACCACCGCTAGCGGCGTTTCCAATGAGAATTCCCAGGTAGACTGCTGATACCTCAAGTCCAATGAGAATTCCCAGGTGGACTGCTGAATCCGATGTAAACATGGTAGGATCGTTCTCTAATACAAATGTCAAAGCCCAATGTTCTTGTTTGTATATACACAAAATATTTGGAATGTTCCCATATTTTATTTACACTGATGCACGACAATCATCTCCCAGAAAAACTGTTCGAAACGCGGAGGCCCGGGCAATGAGGCCCTTCATGACGGCTGTTAGGTGCCATTCCTTTTGAAGCGACCTGCGCGTGGCACAGGTAGCAAGCCACAACAAACCCAATGGTACGTGTGAAAAACATGTGAAGAGACACGTGCAGGGCATGAAAAATAACCCAAGGTGAATTCACCTTCTATCCAAAAATAATGTCAACAACTCTAGAGTCCCGCACCTCGTAACGGAACTCACTAAGAGAAGCTCTGCTCCATCAGCGAGCCAAATTCCACCACCCAAGATTCCCCAGGCAATCTGAGCTGGGCCCATTCCCATCCCCTCAATGACATCCTCACAGGTGGGAGTCTGAGGTTAATGGCAAAGTGGCCAAAAACAGCACAAGTTGGTCTCCTTGGATGTCCACCAAAGACATGTCTCGGTAACATACACTTGAACTGTCTTGAAGAGTCCCTGGGTGGCATAGGCTGATCTGCCAACGTATCAATCCCGGGTACCTGGTTGAAATCACTACCAAACTGAAAGAAAACACAAAACATCTCCGAGACCCGTGGAAGATACAGTTAAGATTGAATATGGCGGCTTTGTCATTCTATTACAATACTGCTCACACGACCATTTTTTGGCAACCTAAGCCAGGCTGTCTGGTCAGTCTGGGAAGGCAAAATGATATATTCTTAGCCAATCCCACAATCATGCCACGGCTACAGCTTTAGATGTATCTCCGTTCATTTGCTTTGGCTACGCTGAAGGAGGCTTGGATATCAACCTGCCTACCCGCTAGCTCCCCCTGTGGCACCTGGCTCTACTGGCTGCCTTTAAACAAGCTGGCTAGCCCTGCAGGCAGAAAGGAGTTTGCTAGCTTTAGCTCTGCGGTCTGGTTCCCTTTATTAGCACTAGTACATCGTAGGCATTCTGAAACTTTTCTTGGGCGTCGAAGTCTGCGGTAAGACAGCAGCAGCGTTGAAAATGTTGCTCACTCGCGAGGGCCCAGGTTCTGTGAAAATTGTTTACACATTCTCCATGTTGATGCATCATGATGCGTGACTGAATATGCACTGTATGACCCTGAAGCAATTATGGATGCGCCTGTGAGTTACTTAGGTTCCACCAAACCACCAACAGAACGCTTCTGGCGGCGTTCGGTGGAAAGGGTGGCGTGCCAGGTGTTGCAGGTGGAGGGGCAGGCGTCTGCTGGAGTTGCTGGCGCCCAAGTGCATTGACAGAAGAGAAATCACAGAAAAGAGTCTACCCTCAAGAAAACAGGAAGCCCAGCGCGTAACATGGCAAGCGGCTCACCAATGGCTTGCACTCAGACCGTAGTTCAAAGTGAAGCAGGCAAGCAGGCGCGCGAGAGTAAAACTGCAAAACTGTATCTGCACTACCTTGCCAGCAGGTTCGCGCTCTCGACAGGCCAGTCTTCTTCGTTAACGAGAAGAGTAGGCAGGCATTAAAAGGAAAAGGTAATCCTTGAGTCAAAGTTTTGCAAAGACTGAAGTAGAAGCGCAGAAGGAAAGGCCCAGTAGAACGCTTAAGAACGGAGGCCGGGGATGACCTGGAAAAAATGACGAAAAGCATGTCTACAGAGACCGGACGAAACATGAACAAGAAAAACATTGAAAAATCAATGTCGCTACCAAGAATGACTCTAAATCGTTTCTGACTCTGAATTTTTGGCATTGAAAGGATTGTCATTTGGATATGAATTATTGATTACTACCACTGACACTACCACTACCCCTGCCACCACCACCACAACTACTACTACCACTACCACACCACAACTACTACGACTACGACGACGACGACGACTACTACTATTACTACTTCTACTTCTACTATTACTACTTCTACTACTCCTCCTGCTGCTGCTCCTACGACTAGTACTACTACTACTACCACCACCACCACCACCACGACTACTACTACTACTACTACTTCTACTTCTACTTCTGCTTCTGCTTCTGCTTCTGCTTCTGCTTCTACTACTGCTGCTGCTGCTGCTGCTGCTTGCTACGACTACTACTAGTAGTACTAGCACTAGTACGTACGTACTACTACTACTACTACTACTACTACTATTACTACTACTACATTAATGAGGGCTTAGGGTTCAAGGTTCGGGCTTAGCAATATAGGCGGCAAATCGAGCAAAACCAAGATCCAGTTCCAAGCCCAGTGGTGAAGAAGCAAGTCCTGGCAGCGCAGCGGAACAAAACGTAACAACTAAGAGTTGCACGTACAAAGCTATGTGGGCGGCAAAGTTGCCAAATCAAATCCGATTTCGCGGGCCGACTCTGAATATATGCGAAGCGTAGTGTGGTGGGGTGAATCGGACTGTGACTTATGAAGCGTAGTGAATGTGAGCGTGAATTTGAGGCAGTTGCGTGCTGGATGAATCGGATGTGACAGTTGCTTTTGAAGCCAAGCAACTCCAAGCAAACTTTCATGAAGCCAGTCCTAGGGGTGGGGGGTGTGGCGGTGTTTGATTTTTTGGTGAAGTTTGAGGGATGAGAAGAATGTTAAAACACCTGTTAAATGTTTTCAAAAGTGAATGTCTTCACTGAGTCTTCACCTTATTATTCCACAATCTTATCCCTTTCGTTCAAAAGGCTTATATTCTTTCCTACTGTATTTTACAATGCGTTTTTTGCATTTCTGAGTTGGGAGTAGCACTCACTGAATTTGATAATTAGTGTGATGAAAATTACGAAAAGGTTGTCCCTCGACAGGGTGGTGGCCAAACAGCTCTATGATGATATGTTCAAGGGAATTGCAGGCTTTTAGCGTTCCGGGCGCGTGTTCCAATACGGGCTTTACAATACAAGGACCTTCTCAGGGCAGAGATTTGAATCGAGGAACGTTCCTAACACACTCGGGCCATCTACAAATAAGAACTGGCAGGTTTCTCTTAAACTTGTTGGGTGGAGCACGGAGACCTTGCGTAGCGCTAGACTCCTTAATCTGGCTGCTTGCCTGCGTTGGTTGGCTGCTAATGGGCTCCTGTTTTCCCGCGTGCTCCTAGCCGCTAGCCTTTGGACCGCTGGGTGTTGCGGGCGCCCTCTGCCTGGCGCTGCGCATCCTCCGGCGTGCAGGCCTGAGTGTCCTCAGCCCAGCTGCCCACACGGTGTGTTGCTCCCCCTGCCACGGTGACGCTTTCAAGACTCCACCCCCCACCGGTTATTAGCGATGTGTCTTGAAGTGATCAGCGCAGCTGCTCAGCACACTCCTCCTGGGATGGCGGGCAGGCCCCCTCAAAAAATTATTGCGCGCTGCGTTGGTGTCTTGGCTGCAAGGACATGAGCCTCTCAAGCTTTGCAAGGCGTTTTTCAAGGGTGAGGCCACGAATCGTCATGAAGTTAAGCCTGCCAGGATTATGAGCAAAAGCAAAAACAACAACAGCTTACCGCTTGCCAGTCCGCTAGAAATTCAAGCGCTAAAGTCGGAACCAAGAAAGTGATTTTGAAACTCACATTTCTCAAGCGCAACGGTAACAAAGCTTCTGCAACAATGCCAACATCGTCATTGGAGAACACATCGCTGTCATCATGATCATGTAACAGTTGAGCAATCTGTTGCCCGGGAACTTCGATAAGACCCACTTTTGTAAGACAGTTGTCCGGTCGGTCGGCCTCGGGCGCGCGCAAGGACAACAAATCCAGGTTCCCGAAAACAAAAGCACACAAGCAAGGAGCGCGAACGAAAGAAAAACCCGAGACCAAAGGAAACCCCGGTCACCAAAAATGGCTTTCATTGTCTGCAAGATAAAGAGGAGCGTTGGGTTCACATATTTCGGGTTGACACCATTCGTCGCCGCAAACACAAACTTTGTTGCCACAAGCGTGTGGAACTCTGGGGGTAGGTGGCGGTACTCTGTTAAGCCCGTCAGATCCTCAGGTACGAGTGGTTGCGGCTAGCTGCCAAACATCGCGCGTTCCAAATCTCGTGGCGCATGCTCCGAAAAGCAGCAACGAAAGTTGCACGTTGGAAATCGAAGAGACTCCAAAGCAACGCGGCAAAGCATTGACCGCAGAAAGATCTCCACAGCCAGGAAGCAGCACCAGCCAAACGCAAATCCGCCATCGGAGTTTTGTTCGGTAAACAAGGGGAGCGGGATACCAGCTGACGGGCACGAACGCTGCGGGCTTACAATACTCAAAACTGTTCAAAAACCGAGCCTGCTTTTCCAAGCAGTGCAACTTATGCAGCTCACAACGTGAAATTCTTCAAGCCTCAAGTCAAAAGGCGCCTTAAGTCAAAGCAAACCAACTGGTAACCAACTTACCATAAAACAACACACAGGAATTGAAGAGTTGCGCCGCGAAACATCGTTGCATCTCCATCATCCAGCTGTTGTATAGTCATGTTCAAGCCCCCCAAACAAAGATGCAAAACTCCACACTGAAACGCTGTAAGCTCTTACATCTGGCGGGCTCCAGGTGTCCAAAAGCCCGCCTTGCCCCAATGATTGCCGCCTGGGTGCAGCAAGCTCCTGAAGGACTCCCTGCCTGAACTTCCATTTGGCTCTCGCTCACACGCTCACACTCGGGCCAAAATCCTGTCCAACTCTCTTTCCAAGGTCGGTCCCAGATCTGAGTCGGTCTCCCCCCATTTGGGGGACCCCTATTAACGATAATGACGCCGATGTGTTTTTACTTTTGGGGGGTAAGCCGGGGAGGGCGTACTTTTTTGATAGGTGGAGGGGATTATAATGGATTATAACTAAGTGGGATGGACATCCAAATGACCCAAGAACCGATTCTCCAGGTGTGCACGAGTCCTGGAGGCGTTCTTTGGATTGGACTTGCTCCTGGCAAATGATGTTTGCTCTCCAAACAACATGCACTGGTAGCACCAGTGAAGAGTGTCTAGCAACGCCTGGTCCTCATTCTTCGGCATGAATTAGGCGGATCCTCATGGCAGTGGTAGCAGCAACTTTCTATCCACGAAACAACCGTCACGAAACCGCAATCGCTTGAGGATTGTCAACCATGGGGCGCAAATATCTCCGGTAGACTACTCAGCTTTTTGGGTTCATCAAGAATCGGGATCTGAAAACACAAACATGTCTCTACAACAAACATCAACATGATCAGCCTAGGCAGCACAAAGATCACCCCAATCCCATAGGTTTTAGTGTTTTGTCTGGTCTCTTTGCATCTCTCTTTGCATAACTTAAAAACCGCATCCAGGTCCTGTTACAGGACTCAATGCCGAGGTCTGCTGGAGTACAAAGCCCTGATGGTTCTCCCAGGACCTTGCGATGAAAAACTGTGAGTTCCAGAAGCCTATAGCCATCAGAAGCACTTTTGAAAGGAACAGCAAGTTCCTTTGTGTTCCCAGCATGAGAAAGCTACACCATGAGCCAGGTGCTGGACCTTGTTTGGATTTCTATTTCACTACGCCATGTTACACTACCGGATGGCTTGATGTGGAAATCAATGCCTGCAGCAGTCATTCTCCTTCTTGGCCGCAACCAGTCCCTCTAAACCCTCGCAGTAACAGTGAAACATGTCACATACGCTCCAAAGCAATGCAAACAAAGCAGACCTTGCTCCTCAAGTCTTCGCACCCAGCGGATCCGGCTCCTTTTCCCTTTGAGCTAACTTGCCTCCACCTGTCCATCCAGCGGATCCTGTCCACTTTGTGGAGAAAGTCCACTCAGCCACACATTTTGCGTGCGACGGACACGACCAGAAACGAGTTAAGCTCGTTGACGTTCATCGACCCCAACAAGCTGATCTCTAAAACCGGAGAGTCCAAGAGCTCGCTTGGAGTCAAAAGGGAGGAAACCCTTTTAAGGGCAGAAAACTAGCTATGCTAAGCATGAATCTGAATGAAGCTTCAAGGCATGCTTCTAGGCAACAGATCATTTGCTGTCTGAAAGGAGTCTGTCTCCGACATGATCGTCATAGCTGTGGCTTCGGTTTCCGATGATGTCGCCTCGTCTTTTTTGGGAGTAACCACCTGTCGAATTGATGGTGAACTGCGCAACATCTAAATGAGTAACTTTGCATCATCAAAGGCTCATTTATAGATGTAACGAACGAAGGGGCGAATGAAGGCCATGACAGAACGAAGGCCATGTAACATGGATGTCACGAACGAAGGCCTCGGCCTATCACGTCTCTCACACGAACGAAGGCAACACGAGAGGCCATGTTTTGCCTTGGGTTGTTGTTTGTGGTGTCACGACTTCTCGTGACTCGCACAGGCGTTCCGCCAATTCCGCCAGTTCTAACAGGTTCCGTTCTTCGGGGTCGTGTTACCTGGTTTCTCTCTTGCACAATCATTCATTGAACATTCATGGCCCACAGTCAATCCCCACAGGATGAACACCAAAAAACATGTGAAGCGGGCACACAATTGTGCTGGCTGAGGACTGCGAATCTCACCATTGCCAACTCACCGACCCTTCATATACTTACAATCAGGTTGGTCTAGTAACAAGAAGCTACTAGGAGCAAAGGGCATCGCTACTAGGAGCAAGGACACTACTACTAGCTCCTGGCCTTACTACTAGGAACAAGGACGCTACTAGGAGCTTTTTCCAAAAACAAGAATGCATGTACTGCATGTACTTGTGGTTGACCTTGTGGATGTCAAGGTCTCCTGGATTGATGAACAATGCTGGATGATCGAGCAAAGGACTCTTGGATTGGTCATTCTTGGCCAGCAAAGGACTCTGTCGTTCTTGGCACCAGGTTTTGATGGAAGAACAATCGAATGGGAATACCTTCCGCACCTTTTAACTTTGTCTTTCCCTCTACTTGTATCACAAGTTGCCCTCCCTTCTATCTTCACTTCACACCCTCGTTTTGTTCACCGGAACATGCCGCCCAGTTGTCATGCCGTCCAGTTGCCATGGGAAAAGCCATCGGGCAAAATCTCCAGGGGCTGTGAGGGATCATCCTTGCCCTCTTGCCTGAGAACTCAGAAAGGATGCCCTCAGTTTTGCCCTCCCTTCAATTCGAACACCCACTGCTTTGATCAAACTCTGATTGACTGATTAAACCTGAAATGATGGGACACCCGTGGACCGGCCCCCATCTTGGTCATGTTCTTCGGCGGTCGACCGCCTGGCAGGCAAGCCGTATCGGCAGGTGAGCCAGTGAGCTCCCGGCAGTGTGCCGCTCTCACGTCGTCTCGGTGCCAAGATGCTCTTTGACCGAATCCCAAGACGTTCTATACCGTGGCTTGCAACAAGCCACAATCATGAAGACCAAAGACCAGCCGGCGGCAACCTGATTCCGGATCTTCCAGAACAAAAACAGCAAGACAGGAACGTGGATTCTGAAGATTTCACATGGGCTTGGTTTGGCTGCGTGTTCCACGCACTTTCCACAACGGTAACCATTTCGGGTTCCTTTTCGGAACAGGACTCTTGCTTGGTGGAGACCCGAGCTTGAGCTCAGAGCACCAACTCTGGGAGAAGTGTCCAATCACGGTGGTTCCGGTGGTTCCGGTTTTGAGATCTCTGCCACCAGGAAGCACCAAAGAATGTGCCATTCTCTACCCAGTCCACAGTCACCTCAATACGTCTGAGACGTCTCCGACGGACCGCTCGTCTCTGGTCACGGACTCTGATGAACTCAGTGAAGGTCATGCAAGTCATGTGCCAGCGCACCGGATACTGCTTGCTCAAGCGCCAAAGAAAGAGTGACTCGAAGGTGCTTAGAACGATGGTGATAATCTGCCACATCCTAAGAACTCGCCAAATGCAATCAACAAATCTCGAGCACCCACTGCCTAGCACTGACGTGTTCCAGCAGAAGCGCCTGTGTTTTTGTTTACACAAAAATATATTGTATTATGTTACGTCTATTTTTTGTCGGACGAGCACTCCGATTCCGACTAATGATTCAAAACGATCCTCGCGACTTGCAGCCAGCACCCTTTACCTGCCTCCAAGCGGCAGGAAGGAATCGGTAAACGTGGGGTACGGCACGCTTGGGAGATGATCCATGACCCCATACTTGAAAGCCACCAGAGTGAGAAGGCCACCACCGTAGACACTGAGCCTCCCAGCCACGGGAGGCTAAAACAAAAACGCCCAAAGACGTGCGCACGTAGATGATACAAGAAGAGCTTTTGAGCCTTGTTGACAGTTCCATGTTGCATCTTTTTCTGGCTGTTAATGAACTAACGGCGCATTTCCACCTATCTCCCATATCCTCCAAAGGCATGGCAAGAGGTGTGCATGACGCCACAGTGATCCTGGGCCCAAAATAGCTCGTGGTGGCTTGGTATCAGGGCTATGTGGATGGAACTGCTGCAAAGCATCAAGCAAGTTATGAAGAAGATCTGCCGCACATAGAATTTGTGGGCCCTCTCTATCCGCAAATCAATCACAAACCTGATCCGAGGCTCAAATTGCATCATCAAACAGTTCTCCAAAGAAGCACAGTTCGATAAGCTGAAGCAGCAAACAAACAGCATTTTGTCCCGATTCACATTGAGGCTGCTGCTTGCTACAAACTTCGGTGGTCTGGTCGTCCAGCGTCTCAATCACCGATTGGATGGCCATGATATCAGACTCGCCAGCATTCCTGGAATGACCACCCGCTGCGTGGCTCTGCGTTGTGCGTGTGTCACCCATGAAAACAGCATCAGTTAGCATGGGCATGAGTCAGGAGACACACAAATCTGTCATGGGTCAAACGAGTCTGTCATCATTCTTGAGGCAAGGCTCCATTCAGGCAAGATGGATTTGGACTCTACAGTCAGCCAAACCTCAGAACCGAATCTGCCGACGTGCATGCTTTTTAGTGTGAACATCTCTGTGTTGTTCTCTCGTAGTCAAATTGTCAAAGGACAGGACAGCTGGGTGCTATTTCCTGGGATGAGCCAACCTAAAAGTAAAAACAACACATAATAAAACATAAGAAAACTGTTCGATTTGATGGAAGATGATGGAAGTGGAAACAAAACGATGAACCGGTGATGCCGCAAATGCAAAGCAGAGTTGGCACAATGACTCGCATCATGTAGTCGAATGGAATGCGAACTTCTTTGGTTGTGAAAGGGCGACAATTTTGCATCGACAGGACTTGGTTGGTATGTTCCCGTCCCTTTTGCTGTTCTCAACCAAGAACAAACCTAATTAGGCTCTTTCTCACCATCAAAATTACCCAATCAACCATGAGAACAACTATGTGTCCAAGCTTCGACCTTTCTTTCCAACCTCAAGATCTTTCAAGGACCATTGAGGACCATGGAGGACATCATCCGAGCGTCAATTTGCATGGAGTCGAAAAAGTCATCATCATCCTTCTCAATGCGCCACACAAAGTCCACATGCTTCAGGCTGATGATGTGACGGTCGAAGGGGAAGTCCTCCGGATAAGGAACCCTCTGTCTTGCACCCTAGAAGTTTCACCAGGCCGGGCCAGGGCAGTTTGAAGATGTTTGAAGTATGTTTGCTGAACCGGCATGGCAAGGAATCAAGTCTCAATGGTCTGTCCTGCAAGTGGTATGGTTTGTAGCCATCCAACAAGAAAATGGACGTTCCATTCCAAGTGATGGTGTCATCTGTGGTTTGGCTTAAATCTTTCCAAATCCTTGGCTTGAGAAGAAACTTCTCTACTCAATCCGATCAATCCGGACCCAAGAGCTCATGTCTTTTTGGCGCTTTGACTTGACTTCAAAGCATACGTAATTCATCGTAATTCCGTATGTTTGCAGTTTAATGAAGGTCTGTATCTCCAAAGCTCTATGTGCACAAGAATCATCCAGAATCATGGCTAGCACAACAATGAACAGGTTCAGGTCTACGGTCTGCTGAGCCCCAGCGGCCGGCTTTCTTGCGCGGTGACCTGTAGCCCAGGTATCCGAAGGCCAGGCACGCCTCGATAGCTGATCTCGGTCTCTTTGTAGGCATTACTGGTTCCTCAGCACAA